CTAAAGGAGCTTAGAGATAATCTAGTCCAACCCAGTGCACAATTCGACTACTTACAGCATCCCCAGCAGATAGTCAGCTTCTGTTTAAATACTTCTGGAGAAGGAGAATCCACCCACTTCCCAAGACAGTGGTTTCCATTGCTGAACAGCTCTTATAATTAGGAAATTCTATCTGATGTTCAGCTGAACTCTGTTTTCTTGCAATGTAAGCTGATTGTTTCTTGTCTTGTGTTCTAGAACAATGCTGCACAAGTCTACCTTGCCTTCTACGTGAGAACCCTTCAGATACTTCAGAGACTCCCCACAGTCATCTTTTTGCCAGACTAAACAAACCCAACATTTCCAACTGTTCCTCATGGGTTTTTCCTTTTTTTATCTTTATTTTTCAAAGTACATAATGCAAACTATTGACAAAAACTTAAATACACTAAAAAAAAAACCCAATTAAATGAACATCTTGTTTCTCATTCCATGAATATATTTGTCATTATCTTTCCTAAAATGCAGTGCCCAGAATTGGGCACTGTATTTTAGATGTAATCTGAATAATGCAGAAGGTGGGCGGGGGGGAGTGGTTCTGTTGATCGTAACTCCGTCCTTCTGTGGAATGCAGCCTAGGACTGTTTTGAGTTTTTTTGCATATGCATCACATCGTTGGCGCAAAAGGAACTCAGCCATGTTGAAATAATGCAAATACTGTACCTTTGTAATAAAAAGCTAGAGGTTATAGCAAGCAGCAGTTGACCCACAGTTGCTGAGTATTTGCAGCAAACTCTTCATATATTTATGGATGTGGACTTTATAAATGTCATTTAGTACTTTAATGTAGGATACAGTCTACCTACAGAAAATTTATAAGGAAGACATTGAGAAATATGGAAATCTAGAAAATTGTTATCCTTAATTTTGATGAGAGCAATATCCACAATAATTCCATCACAAATGCTTGTGTAGCAACAGAAAAAAATCTTCCTTATTAAAACCAGCTGATATATTAGGAAATGCACACACTGCTAAATATGTACAAAAAGTAGCAGTAAGAGCTATTAAAAACTAACACGATAATTTCAAATGCCTAATACGTGACTTTGTCATGGAATAAGAAGTCTCAAAATTAATAACATAAGGTTGCAATATCTAACAAAAGATTAGAGTGCTCCAAAAATGAAGGCTAATGTGGAAGAAATTGCAAAGATTCAGAGCACAGCTGTTTCTGTTCTGAAGAAAGTAGGAGGAAACAAATGAACTTTCCGACAAAATTCCAGTGTACTACTTGGAGTGCTATATCAAGAATTGACCAGTGCTGATTGAAATTTGTGAATACAATTAGGAAGAGGATACTGTCAAAGTCAAGTTCTAATTGTGATGCTAAAAAGGTACCGTGGACATTGAATAAACAAAGTGCAGTGAAATACCTTTCTGATGTTGTTGACATATAAAAGAGCTGAATGTAACCTTGGAAAAAGGAATAGGTGGTGACAGAGTTAGAACTATAGGCTCTTAAAAATGTACAATAATTGGGAGAAATTCACAAAACTGACTATTCAGTACTTAGTTTTCATATTCAAAGACAAAAAGGTGCTTTGGAGCATTTTCTGAAGAATCCTTTTGCCTTTGGATCCAAAATGTTACACAGGTCTATAGAGAATTCAGATCGGTCCTTAATTCTTGAAGAACAGTTGGCTGACATGAGGGAACCCCAATTTAGATAATTAAATCGAGTCTTCCCGATTAATTAAATCCAGTGTGGGAGACCCAGATTCAAATCTATCCTCAGCTATGGAAACTTTGGTAGGTGACTTTGGTTCTATCAATCTCAGCCCAGTCTACCTCACAGGATTGTTGTGCAATTAAAAAAAAAGTAAGCTTGAGCTCCTGGAAGAAAGGTAGAATTAATGGATTTTTTAAAAGAAATATTATTGAGTAATATGGACAATACAATTCATTGGGTCTTCAGTGGAGCCATGCAGCAGTTTAAGATCTCTACAGTGCTCTATTTCAAATCGCAAATAATAACCCTTGATTTTCTCTTCATTTGTCTGTCTGCCTTGCTCCCGTTTAACTTGTTCTTCCACCATATGTTTTCATCTACTTTTGCTGCTGCTTCTAAATTTTAACTCTACCAGTAAGCTGCTATTTAGCAACAAAGCTAAAGATATATTTGAATCAGATACTGCTTTTTGAATAGTCCAGGAGGAGCATTGGTATTACCGCCTCTGTGCCTTTATAGAAGGAGCTGTCTGTAACACAAATAGTTCTTAGCAACCTCTCTCGCCTTCAGACTGGCTGCTAATTACGGCTATGTTTCCATGGCCAAAGGTAATTTAACCCCATAGTATCAGTTTTCCCTTTTTATATACCTGTATAGCTATAGCAGCATATTTGCTTACTTCTTTCTTAAACTGTTATTCTTAGGAAACACATTGCTAGTTACAATTATAATATGACTATGATTTTCATGTGTGTAGCATTAAAATACGTGGTGTTTGGGGAAGCAGCATCAAAATGAGACTGTGTTTTGCAGCTTTGCTCATGCCATCTCCTTTCCCCTGGGAACCAACAATTGCACCTGGATTCCTGAGGATAAAGTACTTTGTTTGGCTTCATGAGCTGTAATTGTTCTGCCAGTGTTGCATTGTTAGTGTGCTGTTGTTTTCCTTATTTTGGAAGAGTGTATACGTCTGGGAAGCTTTCATCCCAAATATTTGGAGGCTCAGGTTGTGTGCTTCATATTGATTCTTGCACCTGGACTTGGTTGACCTGTAGTCTGTTTTCTGTTTTACAACAATGTCTGAACTGTGAGATTTCTGGGCTCTGGTGCTTATGGAGCTATAAAGGAAGTACTGCAGCCTTTGTAAAAGTATTAGCAGTTTGAAGCTTAACTTGAGGTGACCTTGAAACTTCTAAGGTGGAGCCACCTTTGGCTTTGTGTTTGCACGTGTACTTGTTTTTCTTTCTGAAGTAACATTAACACACACCTTTAGGCAAGCAACAATATGGTTGGCTTGTATCTTTGGAACGTTAACAGTATCGTGCCTTATGCAACACGCAAGATTATTGTGATGACTGTGATCCCACTGAGCAGGTGTTGGCACAGCCTTCAGGGAATATAAAGTAAGAGAAACTTGGACCAGTACTGCATATTACACACAGTTCTCTAATGCCTTATTCTGATTGCGTATTGTGCCGGTATTTAAAGACCAGATGCAAGCTGGAATGCTGGAAAGATGGCCTATTTAATTTATTTTTAGCTTTACAGTTGCTCTCCCCAAATCATTTTTAGCCATCTTAGAAGAGAACGGGAAACTGCGAAGAGACTTTTTCTTTTTTTCTCTTAGGTTTAAAAAAAAGTTTGAGGGATCTGATCTTGTCCGTTTTGTCTGTCTGTCACTGAAGCAGGCTGCCTTGATTTTATAACCAAAAAAAGAAAAAAAACCCATTGAGCGAAGAATCACACTACTTGCATCAAGTTGGAGAGAGCTGTTGAGAGTAACACCAGTAATTGTGTTAAGTGGTACTTTATGAATAAATGTTAATTCTGGGGAATTGATTGATCTCAGTAATCCTTTCCCAGTTCAGGGTAATTCTGAATTATCTATGGAGTAAGCTAGACTTTGCACCAAGAATATTTAACTAATTCTGCAAAATAAAACAGAAGGAAGTTTGAGAGGAAATAATATTCTACTCTAAAGCAACTATTGCTTTTGTAACTGGTTACCCCCTGGGTACAGCTAGCTGAAGTGCTGGCTACCAACAGGGTGAAGTGCCAGAAGGTTATTTTAGCTTTTAAATAAACAGAAAGGCTTATCTAAGAGACACTATGATATTTAACTTGCTCAGACTTCACTTGTAGAAAAGATATGCTTATCAATGGAGTGTCATGCTACAAGAAGGTTATTTGAGGTTGTACATCAACAGAGGCTTATGTAAGACCCTATGATATTTGACTCTAGTCAGACTTCATTTGCAGGAAGGATACATTGATAATGCCTTAAGAGATGATAATACCAAGCCAGCTCATAGGTGAAGGTGAACAGGGTTGATTCTGGTGAGTGCTTGGAAGTGGGACTGCCTAGGAATTCCAGAACTGTTGGCTAGACTTGAAAGTCAGAAAAACGTCCTGGAAGAAGGCAGTGGTAAACTCCTTCAGTAAAGTTGCCCAGAAAACCGTGGATGGCCGTCACTAAGAATCAAACGCTCTCAATGGCATCTTCATCTTTATATTAATAAAAGAGAATTGATGACCACACTAGATACATTTCTGACACAGAAAGAAAAAAGTAAGGGAAATGCTGCAAATACAAAGTTTGTAGCTTTTTTGGCCGCTAGGAGATGAATCATTATGGTACATAAATAACTGAAATTATCAGAAAGTGGTGGATTTGCCAAATTCTGGCAGTCTTATGTGTAAGACTCTAACATAAACTCTGCACAGCCACAAGACCAGTGGTGATTTTTGCCTGCTTTGCAATTTCCTCTTACATTTTCATTGTAGAAGTGGTAACTCAGTGTTCTGCTGTGGACCTCCTTCATGTAGCTTGACAGACTTCGGAAGTTCTGATAAAAGTAAATTTACATGAAATGTCTCCCAATTTTCTTACTTCTGTTAGTCAACAAAAATCTAGTAATAGTCCAAGATGAAAAAGGAGACAAAGATGAATTTATTATAATATTAAGTGGCAAACACCTTTAAGGATCTAAAATAACTTAATTTATACTTTTCTCTTAAGTATGATGCAGTCCCTCCTTCAAACCTGCATAGGGAGTGAAATCCAAGCTAAAGCATCTAGAGGGTCAACTCCTTAAGGTTATATGATCTGTTCTCTTATGTACCTTATTAGGAAATTATAACTATTAAATTTAACAGGAAATATGATTGTGAGGAATATGGTATCGAGAAACAAGTTTCTAACTCTCTTGGAAGAAAGGGAAGGGATATTTGCTGGATGACATCAGCTACAGGAGCAGGGACTAAAATGTCTTTATAATTTTCTTTACAGCGTGTCTTCAATGACCTCAGTGGCTCAGTGTCCCTTTCCTGGATTGGAGATAGCACTGGAGTAAGTAATAAAATTGATTGAACAGTTTCTTAAGTATTTAGAAGGAGCAAAACTATAATATATGAAATAATTCCATACAGTGACTGGTTTAGTGCTTTCAAATAATGATGCTTTTGCCTTAATCTTCCCACATAAAAAAGAATTATTTTTGTCTGGTGGGTGATAAGGAGTGATTCTCTCCAGCTGCAAGCCATTCTGGTTCTTCTTTTAAATATTGCCATCTTACTCATGAGCAAAGAAGAAGCCATGTAGGTGTTTTGTTTTGTAAATGGGGTGACTCACAGGTTTGGTAACTAGCATCTATCTGCACATTCATGGTTGAGGTAATAATTGCTTCAGTGATGAAGCCTTCTTGCAGAGGAGAAAATACCACATACTTCTTCATCTCCTGCACAGAGCTGCTGTTTGTTCATTTTGCTCTGAAAGTGAATGCTGCAATTCAAGGGGATTTTTTTTAGCTATACAATTTTGAGTCAATTCTAGACACAATTGTCAGTTGTACAATTTAGGGGTGACAATAGCAGGAGCAGTCACATACATTTCCAGCTGGCTTTATCAAGAGTTGGGTTTAATTAAGCATATGGGGTGAAGAAATACGTAGAATCATATGTGTTTCTCCACTTCTTCCTTTAAAACCAGGGACAAAAGGCAACACTTAGGAGGTGCCCAGTAGCAGCTGATGTAGTTCTGCTAGCTTCCTTTTCTCTCTTTCAAAGATAATGAAATCTTAATCCAGTTATTTCTGTCTACTTATCATCCTCCTTTATTTAAACTGATGATAATATCAGTAACTAAGCCAACTTTCATCTCAAAAAAAGGTGAGTCAGACCTGAATAATATTTATATGAGAATTCCAGGAAATACCAAACCTTTCAGCTGGAAAAGTTCCCCCCTCTCCCACCAATGATTATGGAAGAATACAGTAGCAAATCACCTCTGTGCCAGGTAAAAAATATGGTCATGTCCATGTAGTCACTAGGAGCTGAAATCAGTCCATTGGAGTCGGGTGGCTAATAAATTTAAATAAATAAATACTAACCTGATGGAGTCTTTCCCTTTGCTCTCAATAAATCCTGCCTAATGCTTGTTGGTAGCCTTGGTGTACCTAATTTCACCTGCATGTCTTCAGGTTGCTATTCTCTAGTATGGATTACAGTATTTAAAATATGGTTGATTTGTTCAGGAATTTCACTGATGCTCAGCGTAAGAGGACAGACTGACCCATTTCTGGTATGTCTGAAAAGCAGACACTGCCAATTCATGATGAGTTAAGATTGGAATATGTATTTTGGGGAGGAGGGGACAAAATACCAAGTTCTAAACATATTTATTAATGTCCTTGCCTTATCAGTATGCAAACCAGGTATTTAAACAGTTTCAAGAATCAAAAGGCAATCTTGGGCATTCCAGAATAAAGATGCACAATTTAAAAAAAGACTGCAATGCAAATCTTTTATACTTAGCAAAGGGAATGGCATATACAGTATTAGCTCTGATTCATAACTCTCAAAGCTATACAAATGCCTTTTTTAAAGTAAAAATCTACTGCAGTTTAAGTTCCTCTTTTGATTAGAGACATGTATTTCTAGTGAATAACTAGAAATAAGACAAAGGCAAAATAAAGTAGGTTTCTATTTTGATATCTTACACTGGATAGCTTAATATATCGTGGTACAGTTTGGAGTCTAATAATAGCTGTATTTGATACTACTCTGTAAAATTCTATCTAGAGATTAGCTTAGGAGTCATTGTTATGAGGGGTTAAATAAATTATCCTTCCTTCAGCAAAGAAAAGGAGAAATAGGGTGACATTTCAGGATAGGAGCTTAAGCATTAGATAACTGTAATAACAAGTAGAGTTCTTTTTTTTTTTTCCAAAAGATTATCTAACGTTATAGAAAATTGTAAAATTTGTCATTTTTGGAATGAACATAAAATGACTTCTAGTGAATTATTCAGCTGGCTGTGTAAATTCTGTTTTGTTGATCCATCTTTTGGATAGTCATATCCATATGCTGAAATGTGCATGAGACTGGTTCAACCTGACAAACCAATTGTTAGTAGGAACGCTTTGTTCCTTTTGCCATGTACCATCTATTATAGTAATTGTACTTTATTAAAATAGTTAAATAACATTAAGTCAGTGTTGTTTTCTTGGACTATCTGAGCTAAGTAACTTTACCTCTTTCTGTTTCCAGGTTATTCTTGTGTTGACCACTTTTCAGCTTCCTCTAGTGATCATGAGTTTTGGGCAGTCTAAATTGTACCGAAGGTAAGGAATGGTAGTTGTATATATCTCTCTGTAAATAAACGTTTATTATATTTCTCTTTTTTCTTTTAAGTCAGTGCTTAAAAGAAAGCTTCTGTGCCCAGTTGCTAGAACAGCCTTCCCTGGTTCCATCTATCATATGTTGGGTAACCTGTTTCTTTCAAAAGCTGTTTTCCTGTAAATGTGTACATTTTTCCGTGCTTAACTTCTAAACAATGGCAACACACGCCTGTTTTTGTTGAAATAGGAACACATTGACCCAGGATATTTTATCTTAATAGATAATCAAAGGTAATCTGTCTCCTTCCTCTGCCTGTTGGAAATCCTACAGGAGCAAGCTCCCTTTTGACTACCAGTGTAGGTAACAGAACTTTGAGATAAGGTGAAGACCTCACCTGCCTAGTAACATTCCATATACTTCAAACTAAGATTACAATCATGCACTCTTTTCCCAGGTAGAAGCAAGAAATATTGGCTAGACTTTTTCCTCCATTATTTCCTTTGGTGTGGCTGACTGTTCCTGCTTTTCCCTTTCTCAATTGTTATGTAAAACAAGTTACACCAGAGAGGTGAAGCCTAAAGAGGCAGTCCCTTTAAAAATGAGTTGCTCCTGCAAAGGGTAGGCATACAGTGGTGGTTTGGTCCCAGTTCAAGATTCCAACAGGCAGAAGAGTGATAAGTGGTTATAAGTTAATTAAATTCACTGTGGAATCAGGAAAAGAAAGAACTGGGAAAGAAACAGTGCTCTAGAGTGCTCAATTTCAGCAACTTTAAGAGGTGTGGACTTCAACTTCCAGGATTCACCAGCCAATGCTGGGAATTAGTCCACACCTCTTTAAGTTGCTGAGATTGAGAAGCACTGCTCTAGAACAAGCCTAATGTTATAGCTAATGTGTAGATGCCATTTGCAGCAGTTGTGAAAATCCCTTCTTTGACAGAGTCACCAATGCTGAAAATACTATCTTTCAGATGTCAGGCTAAGTCCATCTTGTTCCTGTAGAGGTTTAGTATCACATGCCTTTTATGGTAACTGGTCCCTACTTTAAGAATTGGTACAGATTAATGGATTCTTAATTTGTAGCATACATTTATATTTTAATTGACTACTTCATTTGTTTTAATTTTTAATCATGTTAACTATTTTGATGATTATTTGAAAGGGAAGAGAGGAATTCTTAAACATAGCACCTATTATGTATGATAAAGTATAGTAGCTATATCTATGTGCAGGATGATTTTCACTGTAATGCTGTTTTCTTTGGATATTTGTGCACATGTATAAACCTATTATTGTGCACATGTTTCAACACTGAACTAAATCATACCATGCAAAAACTCTGTGATTTCTACATTGTAACTTTTACATTTTTCAGTTCTTTTTTGGACATCTTTTTATTGCTTCAGTAAGACAAGGGATGACTTCAGCTGTTTGGGGAATTTTTATCCTTACTATGGCTTTTTTTTCCTTTTATCTTAGTGAAGATTATGGGAAAACTTTCACAGACATTACAGATCTCATTAACAACACTTTCATCAGAACAGAGTTTGGAATGGCTATTGGGCCTGAGAATTCAGGGAAGGTAGGAAAAATCAGCCCTTTTTCATAAGGTTTCAATACAATTTGGGCTGTTTGTTAGCCCTATTCTTTGTGATAAAAATGGAAATCTTGAGTTGAAGGGTCTAAAATGACTGCATTTTAATAATTTAGCTCAATATCAGAGAATAGATTCAAGAACTTACTTGAGCTATTAACATGGCTGGAATCTAGATGGATTTAAGTTTGTTACCAGTTTTCCAGTGGCTGCTACTTGTCAAGACATGCTAGACCAGTGGTGCAAAAGACTGACCCAGGGGCCATCTCTGGCCCATGACCATGTACTGAACCTACTGGGTAGGGCCAAAAGTTTTGACTCTTTCTTGCATTTTAAGAGGTTGAGGGGAGGTTTGAGCAAACTGTTCCTTAAGCTTTTCAGATTTCCTAATCTCCCAGAAATGATCACTTTCCACTTGTGGACTATGTTCCTTGATATGCTGTTCAAAGTCTGGTGCAGCCCTTGACTTGATGCAAATTGTGCAGCTCGGATGTCAGCTGTTGGGACAACATGTTTGAGATACCTACTTTCCATATATGACATAAATTTCTCCCAGAAAATTTTCATTCTCACTTACCTATGTAATTATTCTATTTTCTTGTGGCTTGCAGTATAAAGATTGGACATAACATCCTACAAATTCATTTGTAAATTAAGCCATTGACTGTTTATTCAAGATTATCTAGTCTTTGATTCATTTAATTGTTGTGGTATCTTTGTAATCTTTTGCAGCCTTGCAGCCTTACTTGTTAGAGCAGGCTAGTATCATCTGATTCTTCTTTCCCCTTCTGCTGCACATTGTATTAAATAAGCTGCATAGGGGAGATAGTTAAGGGTATGGTTGTGGTTTCTCTAGCTTCTACTGAATTTTAAATGACTGCCATTAGTTTGCTTCCAGAACAAAATAAATGTTTACACTCCCAACACAGTTTCATCCTGCGTTATTGAGGCTGTCCATGGATAATACAGCTAAGAGTTTTCTTTCCATGACATTTCTATCAGCAGGATAAGCAGAAATAGTTACATTCTTTAGAGATTTCCTTAATGGTTTTCATAAAATCCATTTGTGGCATAGAAAAGTAGTGCCTTTTGTCATTTTTCACAAAAGCAATGAACACAGTGCCTTGCATTAGCTTAGAATTTCTATTGCTATTTCTGCTTAGTTTTGTTTTCTTTCAGGAACTTATTTTGTCCTTTTAAAAACTATTTTAAATATGTAGTCAGACTTTCTAGTTTGAACACATAATAAACTGGCAGTGTGGATGAACTCCTATGTGGAATTTTGGAGATAACTCTCATCTTTACTTTTCCATCCTTCAAGGTGATACTGACTGGGGATCAATCTGGCCCCTTCCATACTGGAAGAATCTTCCGATCATCTGATTTTGCAAAGAATTTTGTACTGACGGATCTCCCTTTCCATCCTTTAAGTCAAATAATTTATCACCCTCAGAATTCTGATTTGTTGTTGACTCTCAGTACTGAGGTAAGATTTGAGGAATGGGGATGGAGGTTTCTTCATTGGTGTGCTAATTGAAACTGTGATATTGATCTCTAAAATGAAGTCTGTTTTGGGGGGGGGATGATTTTTAATGACCAGTTATAGTCATGATTTCTATCTAGAAAAATATACATTTTCTAGATTTACAGATGATTATACAGGTAGTCCTTGACCTGTTCAGGTCTGTTTGAAGTTACGGTGGTGCTGAACAAATGATGTCTCAGCACCCTTGTGGTCATGCGATTACGATCTGGGCGCTTGGCAACTGGTTCGCACTTACAACCAGTTGCAGCACCCTGCAATCATGTGATCGTCATTTGCAAACTTATCTGTCAGCTTCCCCCGAAAGTCAGTGGGAAAGCCGGCAGGGAAGGTCACAAGTCGCTGGGGTGAGTCTCCCCCACCTGTGCATGCTCCCCAGCCCTCTGCATTTGTGCTGTGCTGGCCACTCACACACCCTCATGCACCTTCCCCAACTCCCCCTTATGCACCCTCCCTGATCCTCCCTTGCACTCTCCCTGACCCTGGCCTCTCATGCACCCTCCCCAACACATGCCACACCTCTCAAGCACCCTCTTCCACTCTCACATGCCCTCCCTGACCCACACTGTGCCTCTTGCACACACCCCTCATGCACCCTCCCCAACCCACACCTCTTGTGCACCCCTTCACACCCTCATGTACCCGACCCGCGCCTCTTGCACAGCCCCTCACAACCTTGCCACCGTTCCCAACCTGCACCTCTCATGCACCCCCTCGCACCTTCGCTCACCCTCCCCAACTGCACTGCATCTCTTGCACACCCACTCGCAACCTCACATATCCTCCCTTAAGTGTTTCTTTTTTCTGCTTCCTCTTAGTCTTCATTTACTTCACTGAGTGTTTTGCATCATAGATTTTTAATACTTGTGCAGATTAGGTTACAGTCTAATCTGTAGACTGTAAACATAACAATGTACAACTTTAATATAGACTTTTTGTTTTTTTAAGTGCCCAGCACTTGAGAATGATGAATCAATAATAAGCAACCCTTTCTAAATGTTCCAGGGCAGCTTGTGGATATCAAAGACATTTGGTGAGAAATGGAAAGAAATCCACAAAGACGTTTGCCTAGCCAAATGGTGAGTTTCTTAATAAATGCTATCCAGGGAGAACGAGTAGTTGAATATATATTAAAGTAGCTCAAATGTATATTAAAGGTTTTAATGTATATTAAAGTTGTTTAAGTGTATATTAAAGGGGCTGTACCTGCTAGTTTGTAAAAACATGAAGAAAGCTCTTGGGAAAATGTTTAATGCTGTTTTCTCAGTCACAAGGCATTTAAAGGCTTTATTTAGGATCACAACTGTAGCGTATGCTGTTTCAGAAAAATAACTATCTCCTGTATGTATTGGTATTTTTCATTATTTCAACATTTGTGTACATAGCAAGAACTGTATAAAAAGAGCCAACTTTGTAACTGTTAAATTCAAATGTATTGTTTTTGGTAATTTTCATCTTGAACATTCCAGGGTAATTTAGGGAGTAAGTATAATAACTTGGGAGATGACCACAGGCCAGCATAGAAGTCCCAGATTTGGAACTAACATTTCCAAATAAAAGTATATCATATAAATGAGAAAAATGGTTGCATAAGACCTTGGAAAGCTACTGCCTATTAGCATAGTAATAAACCAATGGTCTAGTTCATATAGAAGTGAACTCCTTGTTACAGTGTGACTGTTATTTTCACTGAATGCTGAACATTGTCAGTAAGCCTTATTCATGGATTTCATACAATCCCAATGGCTCTTCTGCCACTTGATGCATTTTTAACTTTAAGAAATCTTGGCTTGGCTTACTAACCAGATACAGTTTGTGACAACTCATCTCTGCAAACATGAATTTGCCCAAACAGATGTCCTCCAGATATGTTGAACTTCATCTCCCATAATTCCCCAACCAATTGATTGAAAATTAAGAGAACTGAAATGTCCATATTTTTCAAACTACAGCATTCCTGAAATTGAAATCCAAAACAACTGGAAAGCTTACGCTATATTAAGACTAAGACAATACTTTCACACATTTCTGCTTTGATTTTGATTTAGTGTTTTCTGTGTACCTAGCTACACAAAGTGTTATTACCCAGCCCAATGTGATAACAGAATCTGGTTAATTGTACAGTGGTACCTCGAACGCCTCTGTTAATGAACTTTTCGGGTTACAACCAGCTCTGGCCGCAAAAATTTACCTCGGTTTGCGAACTCTGCCTCGGGTTACGAACCGGATCCGCGGCCATTTTCCCTCCCGTGACACGGTCCGCGGCCATTTTTCCGCCCCTGACACGTGGTCTGCGGCCATTTTCCGCCCCTGACACGTGTTCCGCGGCCATTTTCCGCCCCTGACACGTGGTCCG